TCCACAGTCCCCCCCTGTTCCCACCATTGTCCCCACCACTGTCCCCACCACTACCGTCCCCGCCACTGTCCCACTGTCCCACTGTCCCCACCACTGTCCCGCTGTCCCCTCACCACTGTCCCCACCAACACCGCCCCCACCACTGTCCGCACCCCCACTCGGTTTTCGAGGGGGGGGAGGGGGGGGAGCCGGTAGTGACCCCCCCCGGTTTTCCGGATCCGGAGGGGGGGGGGGGGAGTTCGAACCGGTAGGGGACCCCCCCCCTTTTCATGATGAGCAGGGGGGGGGGGGGGGGGTTCGAACCGGTAGTGACCCCCCCTGGTTTTCTGGAGGGGGGGGGGGAAGGGGTTCGAACCGGTAGTGACCCCCCCCGGTTTTCCGCCAGCAGCGGTAGCTCTTTCTTATATAACGAGGCTGCCGCCAGCGATGGTTAGGGCGCCGGAGCGCCTCCAGGTGCCTCCAGGAATCTGTGCATGTTTGGGCCAGCCGAACGGCACGGGCAATCCTAGGAACACCACCAGGGAGCTGAAGGTAGTATAGTTTCCTAGGCGACTGACCGTGGATCTTCGTGTTGGACTGGTCGGCATTGGCATCCGCAAGCCATGTTGCGAGGGTGCCCTGCACTTCTTGCAATGGTGTGGGCTGGGCGCAGCTGGCGCGGAAAAGGCTCGGATCGGGCGGCCTGTCGTGCGTGGCCAAACGCGCAAGGTCCACCACGCTGTCTTGCACGGATTGGGCCTGCAGCAAAGTTTGCTGAATTCGATCAACCAACATCATCGCGAAGGGCAGCGTCGCCAGCGTGGATAGCAGGAGTGAGCTCTTCGAGAGCCCGAATCTGGCCATCGTGAGCGTCCAGTCGAACCACCTGGGGCTTGAGGATGTTGAGCACCGTGTCGAGCAAACCGTTGTGGGCCGTACCCATGATGCCAGAGATCTAGTGCCTGATGTCGCCCATCTGCTTGGCGAAGACCTCGGAGACCGCTGATTCGATGTTGTCTGTCGAGGCGCCCAAGTGGGAACCAGAGCCAGCGGGACGCCATGGATCACCTGGGTTTGAAGAGGATCACGAGCAGTACGGCTGTTGCGTTGAGGGACTTCATGATCAGGGAACGTGGCTGTCATGCCACGATCACGAGCGAGTTGTTGTAGCTCGGCAGCAGACATAGCAACCGATGGACCTGCAACACCTGGTCCACGATGGCCACCCGGCAGAGCAGCAGGAGGAGCGACAACAACATCACGCGGGTGTCGTGGCTTGCCGCTGCTGCTGCGCGACGACACGGAAGTGCACCCGCGCCGCCTGCGATCGCGATCGCAGTCGTGCCATCTTTGTCGGTGTCGGCGATCGCGGTGCGCGGAGCCGCGGTCGTTGCGGGATGCGGAACCGCCATCGCTGGGCATGCACCACCGCGCGGTACTCGAGACAGGAAGATGCAAAAATACTGGGAAGACGGGTAGTGTTCAGAAGGTGGGAACACCCAGCCTGAGTGTGGGCTGCTTGTGTGCAACCACGGCGCCGCTGAGCCAGACAGGCGACGGCGCTCAGTTCCCATTTGGACCCCAGACGGAGTCCAAAAGGGACTTGAGCCCAAATGGCTACGGAGGGAGAGGAGGAGGAGGAGGAGGAGGAGGAGGAGGAGGAGGAGGAGGAGGAGGAGGAGGAGGAGGAGGAGGAGGAGGAGGAAGAGGAGGAGCAGGAGCAGGAGGAGGAGGAAGAGGGAGGAGTGAGGAGGGAGGAGGGAGGAGGGGGGATGAGGACGAGGATGAGGAGGAAAAGTAGTAGGAGGAGGAGGAGGAAGAGGAGGAAGAGGAGGGGCGCGGGCTGGGCCAGCTTTCCTCCGTTTTCCTGGGCAAGCCGCCGAGCGAGCACGAGCGCCCGTGGCGTCGGCGGGTCGGCGCCTTCTCCCGGCCCCCCTCCTGCGCCAACGGTTGGGGGCCGACCCGTGCCCAGCGGCCCGAACAAACAGGAGGAGGCAGGAGAGGTGGACGAGGAGGACTGCAGGAGGATGAGGAGGAGCAGGAGGAAGAGGCGGAGGAGGAGGAGGAGGAGGACGAAGAGAAATGGATGAGGAGGAGGAGGAGGTGTGTGTGTGTGTGTGTGCACGACGAGGATTTGGTCTGGCGCGCAACACGTCTGTCACCTCAGGTCGGGGCGAACAGCACGAGGACGGCGAAGAAGACCGAGATCAGCTGCCAATGGGCACGACGCGGCCACCCAATGATCAACGCCATACACGCTGGAACCTAATAATTTGACGAGGCCCACCTCGAGCAGCACGAAGAAGCAGGCGCCCAACGGCAAGCGTGACCAGCAGCGGCGTCAGGCCCAGCACAACATCAAAACGGCGCGGTGTTTGACACAAAAACCAACTCACCCAAACCCAGTACCATCGAACACAACATGTGTGTGCAAACCGGTAATGCCACACAACGGCCGCAGAGAAAGGTGCCTCCCAACAATCACAATGCCAGTGATACCAAAACTGTAACATACTCGCAGGAGGCAAACTGCATGCCTGGCATCTCTATGTCGGCTTGCGGGCGTGGTGGCGGCGCGCTGTATGGGCGTTCATATTTGTAGTTGTTACGGACGTATTCTTGCCACGCGTACCTCATTACGTACAGGGGGTATCACATAGGCAGCAGCAGGGCCCGCATCAGAAGCCGAACAAGAAGGATGCATACCCGACCACAACGAGGACTGCTGTGCCCAGCGCTACTGGGTTCTCACGCCAGCGAAGGATACCTAGGCCAGTTCGGTGGTACTTCCAGGCCCTGGGCAAAGACAACGTCAAGCAAGCGCGGTGGAACTTCTAGCAAGTGCCAACGAAAACAGCGGCACGGGGTATGTGAGCTGGCCCACCCCAGCGCTCATCCCGAAGACGATGTCCGAGGCGGAGCTCAATTATATACGCAAAAGGGCACAGCCCCAGGAGCATCCGAGGCAAGCGGAGGAGGAGGAGGAGGAGGAGGAGGAGGAGGAGGAGGAGAAGGACGGAAGGGGGGAGAGGGAGGTGAACCAGGATCAGGATAAGGAGGATGATGAGGAGGTGCAGAAGAAAAGAGGAAGAGGAGGGGGGAACAGGGAGAAGGAAGGAGGAGGCAGCAGAGACGATAAAAAGAACCCACCGCCTAGGACTCCATGGTGACCCATGACACGCGACTTGCGCCCCCCGCGCCCCGAACGACCCGTGCGTGCCCCAAACAACCCGCACTTACGGTCCGCGCCCGCGACCCACCCGCCCGCGATCCGCCCGCAGTGCTTTGAGTAAGCTCGGTGCTTGCCGCGGGCAGTTTTGTGTTTGTGTTGAAAAGCGTTGATATACTCTGCTTCTTGTGTTTAGATGCGGTGGCTCCTCTCTCCCCCCGCGCCGCAGACGAGGAGATGGAGGAGAGAGGGGCCGACTCCTCCGGCAAAGACGGGCAAGGGAGAGGAGGAGAGAAGGGGGAACGAGAAGGGGCGAGGATGGCAGAGAGGAGAGGGGGAGACGAGGAGCGGGGAGGACAGGACAGGGTAAAGGGAGGCGCGGGGCCCGAGAGGACGAGAGGAAAGACTTAGTGGGCGGGATGGGAGGGCAGGGCAGGGGGTGGGTGCGATGGCAAGGAAGGGGGGAGGGAAGACGGGGTGCGGGAAGCCGCAGGGAGGGGAGGAAACGGTCGGCCAGGGAGACGGATAGGGGAGAAGAGGAGACTGGGCAGCCCCGCCTCCTGCGTCTCATCTCCCCTCCTCCTCCTCGCCCTCTTCCAGCCACTGGCGCTGCGGGCCTTGGTCATCACCATCACCATCACCATCACCACCATCACAATCACAATCACCACCACCATCGCTGCCAACATCACCATTATCATCATCAAACCACCACTATCGTCGTCGTCGTCGTCCTCCTCCTCCTCCTCCTGTTCTCCTCCTCCTCCTCCTCCTCATCATCATCACCATCGTCATCATCATCATCAGCAACAACAGCATCATCATCCATCATCATCACCATGATCAGCATCACGATCACCAGCAGCATCACCACCACCATCATCATCACTATCACCATCACCATCAGCATCATCATCATGCTAATCATCACCATCATCATCACCATCACCATCACCATCATCATCATCATCATCATCACCATCATCATCATCATCACCATCTCAACGCTATCCCGTGCCACACCCGTGCTGCGTTCCACTTTTTGCTGTGTGGACTGGGGGCCTGGGCAGCCAGGTCAAGGGCCGGGGCGCTGTGGAACCCGGGCCTGGACGAAGGACAAACATTTCACCGCGCTGAGACACGAAACGAGGCAAGGAAGCGAGCAGGGAGGGAGGGAAGGGGCGAGAGAACTGAGCCAGAAAGTTTCGGAGGATCAACCCTCCCGGCACTCAATCGCTAATGAGATGACAAGTGAGACATGACAATCTCAACGCTATCCCGTGCCACACCCGTGCTGCATTCCACTTTTTGCCGTGTGGGCCGGGGGCCTGGGCAACCAGGTCAGGGGCCGGGGCGCTGTGGAACCCGGGCCTGGACGAAGGAAAAAACATTTCAGCGCGCTGAGACACGCCCGATTCCCGAATGGTAGCGTGGCCTCCGGCGGCAATCCAAGAGGGTGTACACTCGCGCCCGGGGCCGAACACTCAAACTACTTTAACAAACGTTGACATTCTGCTGAAACCGATCCAATCTACCTGACACTGAATCATCCTGGAAAAGAAAGGACAAAACTTCTTACAGTACGGCTCGGCCCGACGAGTCCAGAGCATGCCGGTGGTCCTGTCGACTCCGGACAGCACGATAGGATGCTAGCTAGAATAGCTGCACATTCCACCCCGCCCCTGACAGAGATAGGGAGGCGAATAGGGAGGATGATAGGAGGCCCAGCAGGTCACCCGGGTGGGTTTTCGCCGCGGGGCCCCGAACGAGCACATCTCGAGCATATACGTCATGCAATCGGGTTTCGAGAGCATCTCGGCCACCGCCGGGGCCGTCCACGAAAAAGATGCTCCAGGATTCTCCAGGTGCGCTGGGATGGACAGGCGGCGGCGCAAGCTAATCACGCGCATAGTAAAACGCACCTGGGCATTACCAGAGCGGACGGCCTGGAGGGGTCTTCCCGAGAGCCCCTGGAGCCCCAGAGGACAATCCGCGGACATAAGAGAGAGCACCGCGAAGTCCCAGGGGGGCCGCGCCGCGCCCGGCTCCAGGAGGCGCAGGGGGTGCCCAACCAGACGGCCCGGACAACGCGAGACTTGAGCCACCCGAGAACCATCTGCTGGACTGCGGGACGGCTCAGGTCGCGCCACGGCCGTCGCCCCTGGTCGAAGTCCAGGGGAAGCGCGGCCAGGCCAAGAGAACATACCCGGGCAGAAAGGCCTCCGGATCCAGCGAAAAGCTCCAGAAAACCGTGCGGACTTTCACTGCATGCCTCGGTGCTCCCATGCATATTGTGAGGTCCCGCAGGGGCCTGCGACGCGCCGCGCCCTCGGGGGTGGGGCCGCCGCCCCGTCCAGGAGGAGGATGCTCGCCAGCGCGGCGTCGACCGCCCTGCCGTAGTCCAGCGCCCCGGCTGGAGCTTCGCCATCTCCGCCAGGATCCTGCCGGGCTCGGCGCACCGCAGGAACGACTGCGGGCTTGCCCAGCCCCCGCGGGCCTGGGTCTCCAGGGCGGTCCGCCTGCGCGCCGCGAGGTCGTCGGAGGCCCCGCCGTGCCGCAGCTGATGCGGGGGCGCCAAGGCGAGGCCGAGCTCCTCCGCGGCCGCGCGCACCCTCTGCCCGAGGTCGCCCGGGGGGTAGCTCCACGCGCGGCCCCTCAGCGAGCGGCGCCGCCCTCTCAGAACCAAGAGCGACGGGCCGGGGAAGCGGAACGTGTCCAAGGGCACGGTCATGTCCCACATGCCCGTCTTGCTGGGCACTCCCATCTCCTCCAGGAAGAGCACCAGTGCCGCGCCGCTGCCGCTGCCCTCCGCGACGCCCTCGACGATCTGCCGCCCGACCAGAGAGTCCGCCTCCCTGGGCCTCATGTAGGTGCTGAAGCTCAGGGCCATCGCCGCGACGTGCTCCGTCAGCTGCCGCCGCAGGAGCCCGCCCGCCAGCGCGGCCACCACGAGCCAAGGAAGGGGCTGTCGCGAACGGCGAGGGGCGCACTTGCCCCAGCCCGCCAGAGCCCTTGAACACCGAGGCAGGCGCTCTGTGCCCCGCCTGCTCTGGTTCGCCACGAAGAACTTCACCGCAGCCAGCAACTTGGACGCGTCGTCCCCGCTGTGCCCGAGGAGGTAGAGCAAATTGAAGTACTCCACGAGCACCGAGTCCAGCTCCGCCGAGTCCTTCCAGTCCGGGCGGTTCTCGCAGGCCCAGGTCACGAAGGCCTGCGCCCGCCTGCGGTAGTCCGCCAGCATGGGCTTCGAGATCGACCTCTGCTCCAAGTAGGTCGGCCCCGGCCCCGGCGCCGCCCTCGCCGCCTCCCGGCGCGGCGCCGCGGAGGCCGCCCCCGCAGCAGCCCCCAGCGTGGCCCCGGCACCCGGCAGGGCCAGGGGGCGATCCAGCGCAGCCACCGCCCACAGCGTCGGCGCGCGGGCTCTCTTCCCGCCAGCCACCCCCGGGGGGGCGCAGGCCAGCAGCGCGTGCTGCAGCGGGCGCCGGCCGAACCGCGGCCACCACGCCCAGCTTCTGCGTGTCGATGTACAGGTAGCCGCGGGGCGGGCGGTCGGCGGGGTTGAGCTCGCTGGGGGCCCGCCGCGCGTGCAGCTGGAGGCTGCGGGCAGGCGCCAGCGCGCAGAGCTTGCGCAGCGCGCTGCGGAGCTGCGCCGCCGAGCCTCGACCTTTCCCCGCAGCGAGGGCCAGAGACAGGTTGCCCACCAGAAGCACCAGGCGATGCCCAAAAGGCCCCGCGACCGCAGGGCGTGCCGGAGCGAAGCGGACAGGGCAAGCCCCTCCGCTGAGTAGATGTCGTGCTTTTCTCGCGCCACGGGAAAGACAGCGCGATCTTCCAGCTGGGGTCTTGCATGAAGGACGCTGGGGCCTCGCCGAACTGCTCGTCCAGATCCTTGACCGCCTCGCTGGGCAGCGCGGCAGGTCTCCGCAGCGAGGTCGCCACGCCCCCCCCGTCCAGCGCGTGAGAGCGGGCGCTGATGGCATCGTCGAAGTGATACCGCCGGCGCTCCACCGTCCGCCCCAGCGAGGCTGCGGCGCGCTGGCTGGCCTGCCGGACGCAGACCCCACCGCCCCGCGTCGAGGCGTCGGAGGCGGAAACCCCGGATGCCACGGGGCAGCCAGGTGCGCGGAGAACAACGGCAGCAGGTTCCGAACAGTGCAGAGCTCCCAGCGCACCGAGGTCCACGAGGGCAAGGCCTCGCCCCGCGCCGCCTGGCAGAGGCGGTAGCTCGCGTCGAAGATGGCGAGCGACGGTCTGCGCAACAGCATGATCCAGGTGCAGTGCCCGAGGGCGACCTCCACCATCTCCCCGCGCGCAGACCCCCGGGCCAGCAGCTCGTCGATCGCGCGTCGCACCAGCCAGAGGCGCTTCGGCGACGCACGAACGCAGTGCGAAGTGCCGCACAGATGGAGCTCCACGAACGAACAACTCCTGCTGGCCCGCTGCTGCTCGTGCACCGCAAAGCCGAGGCCGACCAGCTCCGCCTCCGCCCTCGCCGCCGTGGCGTCGACGTCGGCCTGGCTGGCGCCCGCCGCCAAATAATTTTCCACGTGGGCGGCGGCGCCCTGGCTGTCCTGCTTGCCCAGGTCCAGCCCCTCGCTGCGGTCTCGCACGTGCCGCGGCGCTGGCGCGCCGGCCCGCGCCAGGGCTGACTCCATGACCATCTGGCAAAGGCGCGTCGCCCAGCTCCACCCCATTGGCAAGATGGCAAGCTGAGGGGTGAGCCAATCGCCACAATCAACCGCCGCACCATCGAGAGACGTGATGCCGACCACGCCCGCGCGAACCCGCCCGAGCTTGAAGAACGAGCACAGGCCTGCAGGGATCCACGTCGCATAGATGGCATTCTCGATGTCCCCGCAGGCGAAGAAGAGCGGGGCAGTCGCACCGTGCATGGGGCAGGCGCCGCAGAGCTCGCGAAGGCTCCCGCGGGGGCGCGCGTCGTCGGGCGGCCCAGGGAAAGTGGCGCACTGCTCCCGGATGTGCTCGAGCGCCATGTGCTGCAAAACTGAAGCACGAAGGGGGCCGCCGCCGCCGCGCCCTGCCAGATCGTTGAGCGACCCAACGAATGCACCACTCTATCCCGGCGGCGTCCCACGGCACGGCGAGCCTGTCGTCGGGCAGGTAGATCGCGAAAAAGGGGAAGAGGAAAGACATCTCGCTGACGACTGGGGCCCATCGGGCCACCGGAGCGCGACGTCGAGGCCTGAAGGAGCCAGTGTAGGTCGGCCTACTTCCTTCTCCGGCGGGGCGCAGGGTGGCCCCGTTCTCGTCGCGTCTTCTTCTCCTTCTTGCCGCCGCCGGCGCTGGCTCCTCCGCCGCCGCCGCTGGGCGCGCCCAGCTGCCGCTCCTCCCGCGCCTTGCGGCGCTCCTTGGCGATGCTGCCCTCGGCCTGCAAGCGCTCCGCCACCAACTTGGTGAGCTCGGGGCCGACCATGATGCCCCGCGTCGAGCCCATTTCGGCGAAGAAATACCCCTCATCCTGCTGGGGCCCGCCGTTCCCACTTAGCGCCAAAATCTTGTCCTTGTACTTCTCCTCGCGCAGCTGGAGCTGTCGTGCGACCAGCTCCCCACGCGCCAGGTTCGCGCCGTCGAGCTGGTCATACGTGCACATCGTCTGCATGAGCTTGCTGAACTCCGCATGCAAGTGGACGACTGGGTCGTCGGGGCCCACCGAGGCCCCCAGGGGCGCCTTCCAGGCCACATATGGCCCATGGGGGTCCCTCCGTGCTCCATCTGGTACTCTGCGACCCACTGGAAGGTCCGTGGTCCGGGAACTGGCCAATCGGGAAAGCTCGTGGATCGGTTGCTCTGAACAGCCTCCCGAAACTTTCGGTATCGCTGCCCCTGACGATCATGCCGCACGGCCAAGGTGCGCAAGTCATCGGCGCCTCCCCCGCCCGCGGCCGCGGCCCCAGCGCCCCCGCCATCAGCAGCGCCGGGGGCCTCCGCCAGCGCGGCGGCGAGACCCGCCAGGCCGCCGGCAGCGGGCGCAGGCGCCGCTCCAACGGGGGCGCCGCCACCCGCTGCGACCAAGGCACCTGCTGGGCCCGCGGCTGCGGCACCGCCGGCCGCGCCTCCCGCGCCAAGGCCGCCCGCGCCGCCGGGGCCCGCAGGGGCCAAGGCAGGGAGTCCTGCGACAGCGGCGGCTCCGCCTCCACCGCAGCCCCGCGGCTGCCCCTCCGCCAGCGCCGCCGCCTCGCACTCCGCCAGCAGGGACCACGCCCAGCCGCTCGCCCTCGAAACTCGCCATGGCCACCTGCGCCTCCTGGAAGACCCCGACCATCTGCATGGCGGTCGGGAGGTAGGCGAAGTCGTAGTGAGCCCGTCCACCTGGCGTTGCCACCGCCAGGGCCCCGACCCCACGGGGCTGCTTGAGGTAGTACCCACGCACATCCGTGTTCGCTGGCGGGTACTCCTCGACATACACGTCCATGTCAGGGGTGAGCACCGAGAAGGCACCTGGAATGCGAGCGGAACCCACCAGCAGAAACCGAACATGAAGAAGTGGAGGGTCAACATCGTACTCCACCCAAATCTCATCCCCGACATTCAGCGATACTGGCCGCCTCCCCTCGGGACCCGCGGATCAGGCGTGCCCGGAGCCGCCTCGCCCAGCCCTGACGACGGCAGGCCCGCCGCACGGCGGGCCCCGGCGCAGGCCCGACGGGCCCAGCCCAGGCAGCCGCGGAAGAGCTCGAGGCCGAGGAGCACCGCGGCCCCCACCACGAGCTCAAGGGCCGCGCGCCACCAGCCTGGCGACACCGACGCCCCGGACCCGCACTCGCAGCGGCACTCGGGGCAGGGGCTCGGGCACACAGGCGCCCGCGAGGCCAGGCAGTCGCCCAGCGCCTCCTGCAGGGTGGACAGCGCCTGCTGGAGGTCCCGCGACCCCGCGGCGCCACTGTCCACCCCCGCGGACGCGGGGCTGGGCACAGGCGCCTTCTCCGGCGCCAAGGGGGTGGGCTGCGCCGCGAGATGCGCCAGGAACACCCCGGCGAAGTGCGCGACGCCCAGCCCGCCCAGCGCGCGGGGGCTCAGCATTCGGAGACCTCGCGAGAGAACTGAGCTAGAACGTTTCGGAGGATAAACCCTCGCGGCACTCAATCGCTAATGAGATGACAAGTGAGACAAGACCATCATCATCATCATCATCATCATCATCATCATCATCATCATCATCATCATCATCATCATCATCATCATCATCATCATCATCATCATCATCATCATGATCATCATCATCATCCTCATCCTCATCCTCATCCTCATCCTCATCCTCATCCTCATCCTCATCCTCATTCTCATCCTCATCCTCATCCTCACCCTCATCCTCATCCTCACCCTCATCCCATCATCATCGCAATCATCAGCATCATCACCTCCTTTCTCCCTCTCCTTTCTCCCTCCTCCTTTCTCCCTGCCCCCTCCTCCATCCTTCAACCTCCCCCCTCCTTCCTCCCTCCTCCTCCCACTGCTGCTCCCTCTCCTCCTCGTCTCCTCCTTTGTGCGCCCTCGGTCTGGCGCCCTGCAGCGCGCCCCTGCGGTGCCCCTGGCATCCGCCGCCCCTCCAGAGGCTGCATGTCCTTGCTCCAGATCGTGGTGTACAGCCTCTCTGCGACGCCCTCCATCTCCATCTCTTCCCGCCTCCTCCTCCTCCTCCTCCTCCTCGTTCCTCCTCCTCCTCCTCCTCTTCCTCCCGTTCCTCTCTCTTCCTACTCCTTCTCTTTCCGCTGCTGCTGCTCCTGGTCCTCCTCCTCCTCCTTCTCCAACCCTCCTCCTCCTCCTCCTCCTCCTCCTCCTCCTCTTCCTCCTCCTCCTCGCCCTCCTCCTCCCAATCCTCTTCCGTCTCCTCCTCGTCCGTATCTGCATTGCTGGGTTCCTATCCTGCCTCCTGTGGCCGGGCCCGTCGATTCGCTCGAGACTTCCTGAGAATCTACGATCCAGAAGCTAGAACACTACAGCAACAAGAAGGATAGATGGCGGGTGGTTCGGAACATGCGACTCTCGTCTTAGCGCCGCGCACATTCGTTCTACAAGCTTCCAGCAGCTACATGGATGGCGGATTGGCATTTACCTTAGCCCCTCGCGCACTCTTTTTAAAAGCTTCCAGCAGCAACGAAGATGGAGGTCAATTTGTCTTCCAAAATGCGACTCTGGACTCAGACCTCCTCGACGTAGACTGCTCGACGTTTCAAAACTGCTCGACATTGAAAACATGCGCAAATGGAGGGAGGATCCGTGTCAGCACGGGGCTCCCGCTGGAGCCTCCAGCAGCACGTGCGAGCAGAGCTCCCTGAAGTGTTGCAGCGCCCACACGGGTGGAGGGCAGGCCCTTTCCAAAACAGGGCTGTCGCGGGACAGTTCTGTCCAGACATGCGACGTCCTGATTTTTTTCAACACGGCGTCCCCGGAAATCCCGACCCTTTCCCCCGGGACAGGTTTTTCTCCACGAGTCGTTTTTGACTCTCCTTCCTGGGGCCCGGCGAGGGCCTCCAGAGCCCGAAGACGGCGAAAAACCTCCGTCCTGCTTTATTTCTTAACGACGAGAGCATGCCTGGGTTCGAATCTGATCCTCTGAACTCTTAGCGCTTCTGCTAGCCACAACGACGGAGGGCGGACACTTTACTCAAACGGGGCCCCGCCCGAATGGCAGGCCCATCGGGGGCCTACCCCCAGCGCTCCTCATCCGAGGGATTTTGTCTCCCGCAGTGGAGAAGAAGCTACTTACAGGGACGCTTTCGCCGTCGTCCTCCTCCTCGGCCTTCAACTCCCTCCTCTCTTCCTCCTCCTCCTCCTCCTCCTCCTCCTCCTCCTCCTCCACCTTCGTCCTCTCCCTCTTCCGCCAGGTCCTCCTCCCCCTCTCCCTGCTCCTCCTCCTCCTCCTCCTCCTCCTCCTTCGTCCTCTCCCTCTTCCGCCGAGTCCACCTCCTACTCTCCCTCTCCCTCTTCCTGCTGCTCCTCTTCCTGCTGCTCCTCCTTCTCCTCCTCCTCTTCCTCCTCTCCTTGTCCTGCTCCTCCTCCTCCTCCTCCTTCTCCTGCTCCTCCTGCTCCTGCTCCTTCTCCTCCTCCGCATTCGTACTCTCCCTCTTC